TTTTAAAACTCTTATTAGGTGAATATATATTTAGTATTGTTGTGTCTTGTTGATGAATTGTCTCTTTTATCATTATTAAATGTCTGTGGTAATACTTCTTGTCTTAAAGTCTGTTGTGTGTGATGTTAGTATCTGTATAGTATGAGTCTTGGCTTTTAAATCCAATCTGACAATTTTTGTTGTTTAATTGGATAGAGATTATTCCAGTTCCATTTATTGATTTGTTTGCTTTTAAGTTACTGAACTTGGTATTTGTTTTCTGTTAGTCCTATCAGTTCTTTGATCCTTCGTTCTTCTTTTATATTTAGATGTCTTATAGTTTATTGAGTTTTTTTCAGTTTGTTTCATTCTTTCTCTTTCTTGGCTTTTTAGGTATGCCTTTGTGGTTATTTTATGGATCATACTATACTTGTCTTTTTTTTTTTAAATCATTTTTTTCCTTCATGGTACATTATGCATTCTTAATTTATTTACCTTGAGTTGGTGTCATATGCTAAATATATAACATAAGAACCTTACAAAAATATAAATGCATGCAACCCCCTTCAATATTTTGTGCTATTGTTTTCATATATTTTATTTATAAATAATAGGAGAACCTGGATGTAGTGTATACACAACTCTGTACTATCTTTGCAATAATTCTGTAAATCTAAAGCGGTTAGTTAGATCTTCTTTGGTTGGTTATTTACCTACTTTTAACATTTTACATTAATTAGATCTTATTAGATGAACATAAGGATTATTTTGTCTTATTTTGTTATGTTAATTGCTAGTAGAGGATTTTTCGTTTTTTTTGGTTACCATGAAACTATCTGGAAATATTTTCTGCCACTTATCAAGTTTTGTAGAGTTAAGGAGTATTCTTTGGTTTTTTAAATCAGTGTTTTGTAATTTTTCACATATAGGTATTCTATATAGTTTATTAGATTTACACGTAAGTATTTCAATTTTGGGGTAGTATTATTGTAAATGGTATTTAAAAAGTTTCAAATACCATTTATTCATTGCTTGTTTGTGGGAAAGCAGTTGACTTTTATATATTAACCTTGTATCTTATGTCCTTGCTATATCCACTTATTAGTTCTTGGAGTTTTTTTGGTCAATTCATGGGATTTTCTACACAGATGATTAGGTTATCTGAGAATGGAGACAGTTTTATTTTTTTCTTTTCAGTTTGCATGTCTTTTGTTTCCTTTTCTTGCCTTATATTACAGTAACTAGGGGCTGAATAACCGTGGTGAGAGAGGACATCCTTGCCTTGTTCTTGATTGTAGGAAACCGTTATATATGCATAATGCTAGCTACAGGTATTTTGTATGTTCTTTATCAAATTGAGGAACTTCTCCTAGTTTGCTGAGAGTATTTATTGTGAATGGGTGTTGGATTTTGACAAATGTGATTTCTGTGTCAGATGATGTAGTTCTATGATTTTTCTTCTTTAGTCCATTGATGTGGTTGATTACATTTACTGATTTTGGATGTTAAAAGCAGCCTTCCATACCTGGAATAAATCTTGTTTGGTCATGGTAGATAATTCTCTTTATACATTGTTGGGTTTAATTTGCTAATGTTCTGTTGAGGATTTTTATATCTATGTTCATGAGATATATCAGTCTGTAGTTTTCCTTTCTTATTATTTCTTGATTTGGTTTTGGTATTAGGATAATCCTGACCATATAGAATGAATTAGGAAGCATTTTCTCTGCTTTTACTATTTGGAAGAGGTTGCAGGTAATTGATATCATTTCTTCCTTAAATGTTGAGAGAATTGACTGGTGAAACTGTGTAGGCTGGTGGTTTCTTTTTTTGGAAAATTATTAATTACTGATCAATTTTAAAAATAGGTACAGAGCTTTATGGTTTTTAAAATTTTTCTTTGTGTGTTTTGGTAGATTGTGTTTTTCAAGGAATTTGTTAATTTTGTCTAAATAATGACATTTGTGGGCAATGAGTTTTTAATAGTATTTCTTTATCATTCTTTTAATGTCTATAGGATTAGTAGTGATCACCTCCCTTTCATTTCTGATATTGATAATTGTGTCTTCTCTCTTTTTTCTTTATTATCCTGACTAGTTTTTATCATTTTAATTGACCTTTTCAAAGAAACAATGTGTTAATTTGCTAGGGCTGTCACAACAAATTACTACAGACTGATGGCCGAAAAGGAATTTATTTTCCCACAGTTCTGGAGGCTAGAAGTCCAAGAGCAAATGTTGGTGGGCTTGGTTTCTCCTGATCCCTTTCTTTTTGCCTTGCACATGACTACCATCTCCCTGTCTGTTCACATGGTTGTCCCTCTGAGGAGGTTTGCCTTGGTCTCTTGTGTGTCTCCAAATTGCCTCTTATAATTACACCAGTCTGATTAGATTAGGGCCCACCTCAGTGGCCTCATTTTGGCTTAATCACCTCTTTAAAGATGATTTACTTTTCTCTAAATACAATCATATTCTGAGGTACTAGGGGTTAGGAATTCAACATACGAATTTTGAGGGGATACAATTGAGTCTATACCAACCAGCTTTTGGTTTCATTCATTTCCTCTTTTGTTTTCTTGTTTTCAGCTTCATTGATCTCCATTTTTAGTTTTATTATTTCTTTTTTTCCTGTTTGCTTTAGGCTTACATTGCTCTTCTTTCTCTAGATTTTTTCTTTTTTCTTTTTTTTTTTAAAGGAAGAAGCTTAGGCTATTGATTTTAGATCTTCTTTTCTAATATATCCTTCTAATCATTGCTTTTGCTATATTGTGCAAATTTTGGTAAGTTGTATTTTCATTTTCATTTAGTTCAAAATAGTTTAAATTTTCCTTAATACATCTTTTTTGACCCCTGGTTTCTTTAGAAGTGTGTTGTTTAATCTCCAAATATTTTGGGGTTTTCCAGCTATCTTTCTGTTTATTGAGTTTTAATTTAATTCCATTATAGTCCAAGAGCATACTTTGTATAATTTCTTTTCTTTTAAAATTGTCAAGGTATTGAAGTCTCCATCTATTCTATTGGATTTGTCTGTTTCTCCTTTTGTTTCTATTAATTTTTGCCTCAAATATCAGGGGTCTTCAAAAAGTTCATGGAAAGATTCATATTATCTTTTAATTCCATTTCCCACAAACTTAAAATTACCCTCATATTTTGACACTGAGTTTCAAATATCAGGGGTCTTCAAAAAGTTCATGGAAAGATTCATATTATCTTTTAATTCCATTTTCCCACAAACTTAAAATTACCCTCATATTTTGACACTGAGTTGTTAAGTGTATACTTTAAGGTTGTTATGTCTTCTTGGAGAATTGACCCCTTTTTCATTATGTAACACCATTTTCATCCCTGATAATTTTCTTTGTTCTTAGGTCTGCCTTGTATGTAATTAACATAGCTACTGCAGTTATCTTTTGATTAGTGTTATCATGGTATAGCTTTGCCTATCCCTTTCTTTTTTTAAAACAGCTTTATTGAGATATAATTTGCATACCATTTAATTTATCAATTTAAAATGAACAAATTCAGTGATTTTTAGTAAAATCAAAGATATTTGCAATAATCACCAAGTCAGTTTTAGAACTGACAGTTTCATCACCTCAGAAACCCTGTACACACCTATTCCTATCCCTCCATCCTCTCCATATCCCTGTCCCTTTCAGCTCTAAGCAATACTAGTCTACTTTCTCTCTATGGATCTGATTATTTGATATTCATATTTGATATCTGATATTTCATATAAATTGGATTTTATATGTGGACTTTTGTGACTGGCTTCTTTCACTTAGCACTTTGTTTTCAAGGTTCATGCATGTTGTAATGTGTATTAGTATTTAATGCCTTTCTATGACCACATAATAGGTCGGAAAAGCTGGGATAAAGTAGTTTCCCTTGAGGGAGGGAAGGCCTTTGTTATTGAGAATGCTGTGGGCATATTTCAAGATGGTTATTTTTCACCTTTCCCTGCCCTAAACACACCAGGATTTTTCTCAAAGTTTCACTGTGAGAATCCGGTGGGGCTTTTGGATGTAAAACCCACAGAAGCATGGGCCCCCCCAAGACTGGGCCCCTGAGAGTTTTAACTAAGGTTAGTCTACATTCAGCCTGCAGAAATTTGTCAATGACTGTTAAAAATATTCCTATCAGTTACTGGCTTTTGTGGTTTCTGCTCTCCAGTAAACTGTTTTGGCTGTAATTCTCTGTATTTGCCTTGCCTCTTTATTTTTTGGTGTTTTTCCAGTGGCCTCAATTTTCTCATGGGTCTAAGAAAAGATGTTGCTATTTAGTTTGTTAGCATTTTTCTTGTCAGAATGGGAGTGATGGTTTTCAAAGTTTTTTATATGTCTGAGCTGAAATTGGAAGTCCAAATGATCACATTGTCTTTAACTTTTCTCCTTCTTCCTCAAGAGTGTTTTATTCTTGTGGGCAGAGGCTATCTCATTCATTGTTACATCTCCAGTGCCAAAATGCTTTGACACATATTTTTGAATGAATATTGAATCAGTTAACCTTATAACTGGACTGGATAGATAATACATGGTGAATTTAAGAATCTGGCTTGTGCATAACCTATGCAACCTAACTTACCTAACTTCTCCTTGTGGTTCTTCCATTGCTTCCAGGTTTATGATAGGATTGTTGGGATTGTGCTCAGATTGCTAGGCAGTGCCAGTTGTTGGCTTTGATACAATTCAAATTACAGGTGAAATAGTAGTGAGAAAAAGAAGACTTCTTCAGAAGAGTTAACATTATGTCACTAGCAGTTGGATAGAAAAGCCTCAGTGGGGAAGAACAGTGAAGATGTGAAGACTAGAGGAGAGGGGCAGAATTGTAGCTAATGAATCAGTAAAGATTGCACAACATTTTGAGTCTTTCAATTAATATTTTATAAACAAATTAGTACCTGTATTTTATTAGACAAATGACTAGATAGAGGGGAACTTTTATTAGGAAATTCAATAAGAATAATGAAACTTTTTTCTTCCAACAAGCTAATGAAGATATATTTAAAAAAATTTTTTTTAGAGATCCTGAACTTTCAACTGTTTGCCGGAAGTCTGGAACATTAATATTATATCCAGGGGCTGAAGCTGCTAATTTGGAAGAATTTATATTAGATTCTCCTGTTTATCCTTCCACAATCATCATCATTGATGGTACATGGAGCCAGGCTAAGGACATTTTCCATAAGAATTCCTTGTTCCGACTACCCAAACAGGTAAACTAGTATTTTGACAGAAAGTAAGTACAAATGTATGTTTATGTATATTTTATATGTTTTCTGTGAAAACATACATTTTTATATATGAATTTGATGGTATTTATGTGTGTGAATGTATGTACATATATATATGTGTATGTGTGTTTGAATATACATATATTTGCGTATATATGTAGAAAATTGCAAATTTGTCATCCTTTCTCAATTCCTACTGCCAGACTTCAATGTACGTTAGGCATTTTGCTGTATTAAGAGTCTCTCAGACATTTAATCAGAGAAGTCTAAGGATTAATTATTTCTGTGTGTATTAATGTTTTATATTAAGAAGTGTTATATTTATACTTTTATTTGGTTACTAAATTATTGTAACCAGTTCTTATCAGGAATGACTAAATTTTTTTTTTTTTTTGTCTTTTTCCGTGTCCGGCAATGGATCGCAACCCTCAGTGTT